CTATGCACGGACGAAGGCGTTCGCCTGCGCACAGGCGAAGTAGGGTTAGGAAAGGCGCGAAGTCCGCCTACGCACAGGCGAACGCCTGTGCACAGGCACTTCGGCGTCGGCGGGAAATCCGCCTTGGGCCCTAGAAATGCGCCTTGTGAGGTAGAAAGTGTACGACGCCTTCCGCGCCAGCGCAGCGCCGCGTACGTCGGAAGAGCCGCCAGAGTAATCCAACAGGTACGGACCGTGCGGACGGCACGGGTGGATGCGCTCTTGGACGGACGGAGTTGCGGCGGCGGAAGCGCCGACGGAGAGACAAGGAACGGATTTACTGGACGGAGACGGCTGACCACGGTCAACGCCTTCCGCGCCAGCGCAGCGCCGCGGACGGAATTCGCCTGTGCACAAGGGAACGCCTGTGCACAGGAGGATGTTCAAGTTCAGCGCCGGCGGAGAATCCGCCGAGGCCCCTGCCTGCGCACAGGCAGGAGTTGAATTTTTGTCCGACATGCGGACACACGCGTCAAGACAGAAGGAGATTGGCCGAGGGGCGGTACGAACAAGTGTACCGCGCAAGGCGGAAAACTCGCCTTCGGCGCTACGCCCCCATGTCCGCAGGGTGACACGCTCGCGGAGTTCAAATCCGCCAATTCGAGCGTGAGAGTTTAATCGACGACGGCGGAGCGTGAAGCCGCGCGTGAGAGCGAAGACCGTTCCAGCGTACAGCCGGCGCGGCCATCAAGTGAGACGTTCTTCACGACCAAGAGCCGACCATGACCTTCGACCGGGCGGCGGAGAACGTCCCATTCTTGAATTCGCGATTCCAATCTCTTGTGCGCGCTGCGCGCATCCATCTGCTGGCTGCGGAACATTCTCGTCGTCGTCGCACAGGAGATTTCTTGTTGATTGAGGGAGAAGTGAGTGCGCGTGATTTGGAATTGAGAGCAATTAGAGTTTGCCGAGAGAGAAAGAAACGCGGACAGTGCGGAAGTAGAATGAGCGGGCGAGCGAACCCCAGGAACGCAATGACGAGACCGAGCAGATTGCGGATGGTGCCACTTCGCCTACCGCAGAACGGGCTGCGCGCTTTCGAAGAGCGCTTAATAGCAAGAAAGCTCGATTTCTTGCTATGGGGATGGAATTACATCTGCGCGAATATGGTGCGCGAGTGGCTAGAGCCACAGGGACCACCCTCGCGCGGATTGCGTCCGCATGTTGATCGGTGGACAGTCCAAGATTGGGCGCAGGCGTTGGGAAGATGTGCTGGCATGCCAGGGCATCTCCTTTTCGACAGCGAGAGCATCAAGGTGACCAAGCAAGAAGAAGCGCAATTTGTGGAGCTGTTCAAGACCGGGAGGTCTACCAAGAATGGGTACAGGACCCGTGATTACAAAGATCGATTTCGCCGGACTTTGTCCGCGGCGCTGATGCAATTACTGCAGCCGCACCGCGCCTGCTACATCACATTGTGGCAGGTCTCTTTTGTGGAGTGCGTCATCGAGGGAACTCCAATTCACGGGGCGAGCATCCTGCACAGGGTGATGCGACAGCACGCGTTTGAGGAGAAGGGGGGAACTCTAAACCATCTTTCTCCTTTCCTCATCAATTTTTATCGACAGCGGAATTGTTTGACAGCGGCAGAGCTTGAACATTTTCCGCCATTGTCCATCGACCATCCCGGGAAGTATGTGCGGGAGAACGAAGTCGATACTGATGCAGAGGAGTCACCGACTTCGACCCCATCAAGACGGAGGGACGAAGGGAGACACACCCCTGCAGCGCGAGTGCCGCGGAAGCGGCGATGGAGGGAAGAGTCTGAAGAGGAGCAGCATCAAGAACCCTCTGCTCCCATTCGACCGCGGCCGCTGTGCGAGCCATACAGCCGGCCGAAGCAGAAGGCACGCAGACTGGTGTTACCAGCTGACAGTGCAGACACGGCGACGATTGCGACGGAGATAGGGAGTGCGTCGCCAGAGAGGCGAGAGGAAGCGCGGACGACCGCAGGAGCAACGGGCCACGCTGCAACCTCGTCGGGAGAGAGGCCGCCTACGGGCCAAGGGCCTCCGGAGTTACCACGTGCGATGCGGACAGATGTTCCGTTTGCGCACAGGAGAACCTCCGCGGACGGACGAGCCTCCGCGGATCGGCGAACACAAGTGGACGTGGATCTACGCTTACGCGTGGGAAGGAGCAGTCCGCCTGTGCACAGGCGCTCGCCTGTGCACAGGTCGCCTGTGCACAGGACACCTCCACACGTGCCGCCTGTGCACAGGCAAGAATCACCCCCGTTCCAACGTAGGAAGGGGAAGGAGCCGGCGGAAGAACCGCCTACGAGACACCGGCCCTCGTTGCCAGACCCACCGGCGCACCACGCGCCGCAATTTGCGCCTTCGGCGCCAGGGCCTTCGAGCAGAGGAGATACGAGCAGAGAGCGTGCGGAGGCCGCACCGTCGGCGGGAAGTCCGCCGATAGATGCGCCTTCGGCGGTAGGGCCTATAGGCCAAGGAACATCGGGCGTGCGGCCCCCGGCCATGTCGCCTTCGGCGATAGATGTCCGCGGCGCTACGCCTGCGGCGGACAAGGCGCCGGCAAATGCGCCTGCGCATGGGCCGGGCACAGCCCCCACGGACCGATCAAGGGAGCAGCAGACGGAGGAGCGGAGTGACTGTCCGCGGGATGAAATCTCGATGCGCGATGCGCAATCCAACCCCGCGCAGCCACCTTTCGCTCAATCGCCTTCGGCGACGGACGACAGAGGCAGAGAGGATGCGGTAGACCATCAACAAGCGAGAGACGGGGATGCCGCACGGGTACATTCGCCTTCCGCCTTAGACATTTTGGCGACGAGCAGCGAGGCTGCAGCCGTGCCTTCGCAGGCAGCACACGTCGAGGACGTGCAGCCCCACTCGGGGCAGTCGCCGACGCAATCAATGGCGACTGAAATTCTCCACTCGGATGATGACGACGGAGGCTCCACGGAAGAAATGTCAGGAGCAGAAGACACCGAGGAGGAGGAGGAGGAAATTGTTGGAGCGCCGGCGGCGGCGCTCTCTGAGCAGGTGATTCCGTTGCTGCGGTACTTGGATCGCAAGCTCGATAAATACGCCGACCCACTCCAGCCGGGATCTTACATCGAGTTAGTGCGCAGGCGGACTCGCACTAAAGTCCACACCAGCAAGCTATTAGCTAGAGTGGACCAGGAGTTGAGGGACTTGAAGGAGAAGCATGAGTGCTTGTGGGGTCAGTACAAGCTTAATCAGAAGTTCTACAAGCACTCCGAGAAGATGAAGGATGAGAAACTGGGCGAGCTCACCAAGGAGCAGGTGAAGGTCAAGGAAGCACTCAATTCTGAGCAGGCCCAGAATCGGATTTTGTCAGAGGAGCTCGTGCGACAGACGCGGTTGTTGGAACAATGTCAGCTCGCACGGCAGGCGGATGAAGAATTAATCCGCAGTTTGCAGTCAGAGTGTGGCGAATTGAGAGCGCAACGTGCTGAAGCCGAATCGCAATTAGTGACCATTGAAGAGGATCGCAGGAAGGAGGCGGATCGCACGAAGGTGGAGACGGCGAGGCGAGTCGCCCACTGTCTCAAGGGCTACGCCCACTGGGAAGTGAAGGCGCAGGAGAAACTCACACTGCGTGAGTTTGAATTGCGCGCAGCCGGGTTGTTGTCAGGCGACAGTAGGAGTCGGCGGAAGGTAGCGAAGAAGCTCGAGGCCTTTCTGTCGAAGGCACAGGATACCATGTCCGCCCTCGAGGGGGAGGTGTCCGCGGCGTTGCAGCGGTTGGGACTGCGTAGTCGAGCGGAAGAGTGGCAGGGTAGGGAGTTAGTGCGCGGCAGTCGGCCGCGCAGGAGACGTAGTACAGGTTCCGCGGAGTGTAGTGTAGCGTGGTTCCGTGCAGGCGTGTAGCGTAGTGCAGTGTGGTGCTAGGTAGGACTTAGAAGGTATAAAATAGTTCCAGGCGTTTTGCCTGGGGTTCTTTCCCAAACTCAGAAGTATAGATCAGGAACCCATTTCCTTTGCGTGTTTGTGTCCTTCAGTTCTGTCACCACGCACGAGGAGTTACAACTTAGCGTTCCGCATTTTGTAGCTGAAGGCCTTCGGCCGAATGTTCAGAGCTAGTACATTGGTTAGAGACTTGAGTAGTTCGGATCTGCACCTGCGGGTGACTGCCGATGCTCAGAGCCAGTGACTAGTTAGATACTTGAACAGTTTCGCCCCTACACCTTCGAGTGTTTCTTTCTGATTGTACTCCTTGGGATTTTTCCCCTGAATGCCAAAGTGAAGTTTTGCTACTTCGTGTAAGCCTTGGTTGTAAATTCAGGTTACGCTGCAGCAGGTGCCTTGAGGGTAACCCCTGTAGTATTTCTGGGAATGACAAGTGCCTGAGAATTAAAACTCTTCACTAGACTGTTGTTGTGTTACTGGAATGGTTCACAGTGAGTCCTTCAGTGCGGACCTGTGTTCTCTGCGCGTTTTGTGAGTTGAGAGTGTTGTTCACCGCGTAGGAGTGACTTCGATCCGAAGTAGGCAGTCCAAACCGGGTTTCCTACACTAGCAGCAAGCTAGTGGAAGTGTTGTAAAAGCCGGAGTTGGAAGTCACTGCCCGCAGCTTTGCCGAGTGTGCTCTTGAGAGACTTTCCCCCTGAAATCTTGAAGTAGAGGTCCTAACGGATCTCTGGGTTGTGTTTCTGTAGTTTCAGGTGTGTGTGTGTGTGTGTGTTACGCTGCACTGTGCGACCTCCGAGTGCGCTCCGAGTGGACACTTGCAGTATTTCTGGGAGTGACAGTTGCCTGAGAATTCAAACTCCTCAATAGTCTGTTAAAACGTGACACTTTGTACCCTGTGTGTTCCTCTGTCCCTGTGGGTTCGACCTTTCTACCACTATATTGCAGTTCTAGCCTTTAGTGGGTTATTACAGTGGGACACCGCTACAAAACTAGCTCGATGTGCGATATCTCACACAGGGCCAGAAGAGCAGAGTATCAATTACCGTAGTGAAAGAGCGGGAGAGTCCAAAATGCCGCACGATTCTCGCTGAATCTGAATATTGACCACCTTGATGAATTATCCCTCGTGAGAGAGAACGAAGATCGATGGAGGAATACTGTGGACGGACTGGTTTAGATTTGCTCTGCGCGTCTGGGGTTTCAGCAGTTTCTTTACTGAGAGTTTGTGTCGTTTTGTTATGTGCAGGACGAGGCTCGGATGAAGGGTTGAAGCTTCTGCGAATCAGTGGTCTAAAGACCATGAACCAGAAGACTCAGGATGTTCTCGATCCTAAGTTTGAAAACGTCGAAGTAATCTATGCAGCCGTCATGAGGAGGCAGGCAGGAATCATCAAGGCATTGACGGTTGAGTCTGACGAACTCTTTCGACAATGTGACCCAGAGACGGAGAACTTGTGCTTGTATGGGCTACCGGATGGAGGATGGAAAGTTGCACTTCCTGCACAAGATGGTCCTACAGATCTTCCAGAACCTGCCGTAGGGATAAATTTTTCCAGGGACCGAATGTCACGCAAAGATTGGTTGACTCTAATTGCCCTACACAGTGATGCATGGCTCCTCGCGATAGCGTCCTTTTACGGCGCTGAGCTCACCAGAAACGAAAGAAAACGGCTTTTCGTCATGCTTGGCGACTCACCCACGTCCTATGATATAGTCACTGGAAAGAACGTCGATCAAGAGACAGTCGTGGAAAGCAACTTCAACGATTTTCTTGACTACGACAGAGTTAATCACATCAAGGCCATCGACGATGGCAGTCTTCCCATGAGCACGCGCGGGTCCAAGGACGAAATTTGAGTCAACCAAGTGATCACGGACGAGGATGAGAGAAGCAAAATGATCTCGAATGATACGTTCTTAGCACCAAAAGTGGTGAAACAAGCGTCTTTGACCTACCCCGCAACTCCAGACAAACAATGGGAGCAAGCGCTGGCGCAATTCCTCGATCTGTCGACAATTTTAGAAATCAATTCCCGGAGCCAGCAAAAGTAGTTTCTGAAGCTCCCTGCGTGCCTGAGATAGCTCAGTCCATTGACATGAACGCAACTGCTGGAATCGATGATTTGTCAGTGCCCCAGGCTACCAGCCCGGCAGATCCCGAGGTGCCCGAATTGAACCTTAAGGACCTCCTGAAATTTCGCGCATGAGATTTCTCTAGAACTGAAGTTTGGAGTCGTCTGGATCCTTGCAAATGAGTACTGGTTGCGCGAAGACTGTAACCTGGGAAGACCATGTGGACTTCAATGCAAGTTGCTGGCTATTCATGCTTAACGAAAATTTGATGAAATGAGCGGATTTGGACGTGCTACTCCTCAGTTGTGAGGAGTGTAAGCCAACCCATTTCACCGATCCTTCATTCTCTTTGGTTTGCATTTAAGGTTTGCATACAGCTGTGGATGTTGCAAGTCAAGAGGAATAAATCCAACCTTGAAGTATTAGATTCTTGCTATGGAACCAGGTATTCTTTTGACTTTTTATTATCCTGTAAATAAAATCTATATTTCAAAATGTTATAACTGACATACGAAGAATATGACAGTGTCACTTTTTGATATCAAGTTACGTTGAGACTAGTTGCTGTCTAACAGACGTAAACATATGTCTTTTTGTACTCGATGGGGAGCTGTAGAGGAACTGATCAAATATATGGCTGCATTGAACTACTTATCGTGCTAAAACAAAGACTACATTCACATGTTTAGAACTGAGAAGAAAATGAAGTAGATGATTGTACCTCCAAAGTTGAGTTGAGTTTATCATCTGGTTCGAATGTTGGTAGGCCGACGAGCTCCTTCTCTGGATTCAGTCAGAGTATACGTTGGCATGCACTCCTCGTCTTCCACCCTCGTCACTAAGGGCTCCCCACTTTCGGGGGAACGCAAGCTCTGCCCGGGAGGGCTTTCTGCCCGCCCGGGCCCGATGCCAGGCGGTCCACAACAGCTCTATCTCCACCCTTTAGCTTTGACATTTTTGCGTTAACAGTAACATCAATACACTACAGTAAGGATTATTCTCCACCAAGGTCTGCATACAGGAAATTAGATTGTACTTCCAAAGTGAAGTCAGCTGCAGTGCATTCAGCTGCTGGTATCTCCTGGTTCGAATATTGGTAGCCGACGAGCTCCTTCTCTGGACTCAGTCAGAGTATACGTTGGCATGCACTCCTCGTCTTCCCAGAGAATAAGTTTATCGGGAAGAATGAAAGAGAGAGTTGGCTACACTCAGCGACGTCTAACTCATCGAGCTGATATATAAATCACCTCTTTCCACTTCCCCCCACCCTCATCTGGGAATCCAGCACAATTGCAGCCGCAATGCTCACCCTGGCGAGTCAAATTTTTGCTTCCCTCTCCACGACTGCTTGAAGAGCTTTCGAGAATCAGAGGTTCTATTAAAGGGCAAAGTGGCACCTATAGGGACGCCCAGAGATGCCACTGTGCACGACGCACGGTGGCATCTCTGTAGATTCCTGTAGATTATCCAATCCCTCGGGTGCAGCTGTCGTAACGATTTTGTTCTTAGTTTTATTGTGGTACTCCACTTTTGGCAATTTTGAGGAAATTAAAACATTTTTGGAAAACTGTACCCTGGCAGCATTGTAAATGGCCTTCGGTACATCAAAACAGAGTGAATCCGGAAGATCGCGGGGATTCTCGAGGGATCTTGTAGAATCTGGGATTTGGGGTGCAGCAGTAAGGGCAGGCACCACCCTCCCTGCGAGCTCTGCAGTTAGGATCTCTACGGCGCAAGGCGCAAAACCCGCCTTCGGAGGTTGCGTCCGCGGCTGTAGGGAAACCCTCCCTAATTAGGTCAACCCTCGGGCGCCTTGACCAAGTTAGGATCCCGTTGGAAAGAGCTCGACGCACTGATTCCAACGAGCCCAAGAACGTTTGGAACGGACGAGGACTTGGGGAGTTATCGCTACTGGAAGAAACGGAGGCGGTCGCCTACGGCGGAAGGAGTTCGCCACCGGCGCGAATTCCGCCTACGCGGAAGGGGGAATCAAGTTTTGTCCTATGCGCGGACGAAGGCGTTCGCCTGTGCACAGGCGAAGTAGGGTTAGGGAAGGCGCGAAGTCCGCCTACGCACAGGCGTTCGCCTGTGCACAGGCACTTCGGCGTCGGCGGAAAATCCGCCTTGGGCCCTAGAAATGCGCCTTGTGAGGTAGAAAGTGTACGGCGCCTTCCGCGCCAGCGCAGCGCCGCGTACGTCGGAGGAGCCGCCAGAGTAATCCAATCGGTACGGACCATGCGGACGGCACGGGTGGATGCGCTCTTGGACGGACGGAGTTGCGGCGGCGGAAGCGCCGACGGAGAGATAAGGAACGGACAGGCTGGACGGAGACGGCTGACCACGGTCAACGCCTTCCGCGCCAGCGCAACGCCGCGGACGGAATTCGCCTGCGCACAGGCGAACGCCTGTGCACAGGAGGATGAAGTTCCGCACCGGCGGAGGATCCGCCGAGGCTCCTGCCTGCGCACAGGCAGGAGTTGAATTTTTGTCCGACATGCGGACACACGCGTCAAGGCAGAAGGAGATTGGCCGAGGGGCGGTACGAACAAGTGTACCGCGCAAGGCGGAAAACTCGCCTTCGGCGCTACGCCCCCATGTCCGCAGGGTGACACGCTCGCGGAGTTCAAATCCGCCAATTCGAGCGTGAGAGTTTAATCGACGACGGCGGAGCGTGAAGCCGCGCGTGAGAGCGAAGACCGTTCCAGCGTACAGCCGGCGCGGCCATCAAGTGAGACGTTCTTCACGACCAAGAGCCGACCATGACCTTCGACCGGGCGGCGGAGAACGTCCCATTCTTGAATTCGCGATTCCAATCGCTTGTGCGCGCTGCGCGCATCCATCTGCTGGCTGCGGAACATTCTCGACGTCGTCGCACAGGAGATTTCTTGTTGATTGAGGGAGAAGTGAGTGCGCGTGATTTGGAATTGAGAGCGATTAGAGTTTGCCGAGAGAGAAAGAAACGCGGGCAGTGCGGAAGTAGAATGAGCGGGCGAGCGAACCCCAGGAACGCAATGACGAGACCGAGCAGATTGCGGATGGTGCCACTTCGCCTGCCGCAGAACGGGCTGCGCGCTTTCGAAGAGCGCTTAATAGCAAGAAAGCTCGATTTCTTGCTATGGGGATGGAATTACATCTGTGCGAATATGGTGCGCGAGTGGCTAGAGCCACAGGGACCACCCTCGCGCGGATTGCGTCCGCATGTTGATCGGTGGACAGTCCAAGATTGGGCGCAGGCGTTGGGAAGATGTGCTGGCATGCCAGGGCATCTCCTTTTTGACAGTGAGAGCATCAAGGTGACCAAACAAGAAGAGGCGCAATTTGTGGAGCTGTTCAAGACCGGGAGGTCTACCAAGAATGGGTACAGGACCCGTGATTACAAGGATCGATTTCGCCGGACTTTGTCCGCGGCGCTGATGCAATTACTGCAGCCGCACCGCGCCTGCTACATCACATTGTGGCAGGTCTCTTTTGTGGAGTGCGTCATCGAGGGAACTCCAATTCACTGGGCGAGCATCCTGCACAGGGTGATGCGACAGCACGCGTTTGAGGAGAAGGGGGGAACTCTAAACCATCTTTCTCCTTTCCTCATCAATTTTTATCGACAGCGGAATTGTTTGACAGCGGCGGAGCTTGAACATTTTCCGCCATTGTCCATCGACCATCCCGGGAAGTATGTGCGGGAGAACGAGGTCGACACGGATGTAGAGGAGTCACCGACTTCTACCCCATCAAGACGGAGGGACGAAGGGAGACACACCCCTGCAGCGCGAGTGCCGCGGAAGCGGCGATGGAGGGAAGAGTCTGAAGAGGAGCAGCATCAAGAACCCTCTGCTCCCATTCGACCGCGGCCGCTGTGCGAGCCATACAGCCGGCCGAAGCAGAAGGCACGCAGACTGGTGTTACCAGCCGACAGTGCGGACACGGCGACGATTGCGACGGAGATAGGAAGTGCGTCGCCAGAAAGGCGAGAGGAAGCGCGGACGACCGCAGGAGCAACGGGCCACGCTGCAACCTCGTCGGGAGAGAGGCCGCCTACGGGCCAAGGGCCTCCGGAGTTACCACGTGCGGTGCGGACAGATGTTCCGTTTGCGCACAGGCGAACCTCCGCGGACGGACGAGCCTCCGCGGACCGGCGAACACAAGTGGACGTGGATCTACGCTTACGCGTGGGAAGGAGCAGTCCGCCTGTGCACAGGCGCTCACCTGTGCACAGGTCGCCTGTGCACAGGTCGCCTGCGCACAGGACACCTCCACACGTGCCGCCTGTGCACAGGCAAGAATCACCCCCGTTCCAACGGAGCAAGGGGAAGGAGCCGGCGGAAGAACCGCCTACGAGACATCGGCCCTCGGGGCCAGACCCTCCGGCGCACCACGCGCCGCAATTTGCGCCTTCGGCGCCAGGGCCTTCGAGCCGAGGAGATACGAGCAGAGAGCGTGCGGAGGCCGCACCATCGGCGGGAAGTCCGCCGATAGATGCGCCTTCGGCGGTAGGGCCTATAGGCCAAGGAACATCGGGCGTGCGGCCCCCGGCCATGTCGCCTTCGGCGATAGATGTCCGCGGCGCTACGCCTGCGGCGGACAAGGCGCCGGCAAATGCGCCTGCGCACGGGCCGGGCACAGCCCCCACGGACCGATCAAGGGAGCAGCAGACGGAGGAGCGGAGTGACTGCCCGCGGGATGAAATCTCGATGCGCGATGCGCAATCCAACCCCGCGCAGCCACCCTCCGCTCAATCGCCTTCGGCGGCGGACGACGGCGACAGAGAGAACGCGGTAGGCAATCAACAAGCGAGCGACGGGGATGCCGCTCGGGTACATTCGCCTTCCGCCTTAGACATTTTGGCGACGAGCAGCGAGGCTGCAGCCGTGCCTTCGCAGGCAGCACATGTCGACGACGTGCAGCCCCACTCGGGGCAGTCGCCGACGCAATCAATGGCGACTGAAATTCTCCACTCGGATGATGACGACGGGGGCTCCACGGAAGAAATGTCAGGAGCAGAAGACACCGAGGAGGAGGAGGAGGAAATTGTTGGAGCGCCGGCGGCGGCGCTCTCTGAGCAGGTGATTCCGTTGCTGCGGTACTTGGATCGCAAGGTCGATAAATACGCCGACCCACTCCAGCCGGGATCTTACATCGAGTTAGTGCGCAGGCGGACTCGCACTAAAGTCCACACCAGCAAGCTATTAGCTAGAGTGGATCAGGAGTTGAGGGACTTGAAGGAGAAGCATGAGTGCTTGTGGGGTCAGTACAAGCTTAATCAGAAGTTCTACAAGCACACCGAGAAGATGAAGGATGAGAAACTGGGCGAGCTCACCAAGGAGCAGGTGAAGGTCAAGGAAGCACTCGATTCTGAGCAGGCCCAGAATCGGATTTTGTCAGAGGAGCTCGTGCGACAGACGCGGTTGTTGGAACAATGTCAGCTCGCACGG